CGAGAAACAGTGGTTGGAAGCTGATCAAAGAGAGAAGCAACCTGGAATTAAGGAGAAACTTCCTGACAGTGAGGACAATCAACCAGTGGAACAGCTTTGCCTTCAGAAATCGTGGGCGCTCCATCACTGGGGGTTTTTAAGAAGAGACTGGACAATCACCTGTCTGAGATGGTATAGATCCTCCTGCTTGAGCAGGGGACTGGACTAGAAGACCTCCAAGGTCCCTTCCAGATTCTATTCTATTCTATTCTATTCTATTCTATTCTATTCTATTCTATTCTATTCTCCAACTTGAAGGTATTCAAGTTGAATTCTTTTAGAATTGACTTAGTTTGGATTTTTTTTTTCCCTAGCTAGTTTCCCATCCATTGTTTCTTGCCTTCTGGTGCTTTGGAAGATAAGTTGACCCATCATGAGGACTCAGGCTCAGCGTAGTAGATACGTTGGTAACATGGTGATTTCTTTATGTATTCATGCAGTTTTCTTGGTCACAGTATGATAAAATGAGGACCCAGATTGTTGGGGGCCAACTCTGTAAACTGCTTAGAGAGGGTTGTAAAGCACTGTGAAGTGATATATAAGTCTACATGCTACTGCTAAATATTTATGCCAACCATCTTTATGTTACAGCCACTCTGGATGGCTTACAATAATACAAAACTATTAAAATTAAGAAGATTAAATAAGAAGCTAAAAGAACGTTACTAAAGAATGAGCCAATTTAAAAAGAGTGACAAAATACGAATAAAACCATCCTTAACTTAAAGGCTTTTCCGGACTCTTTCTGTTAGTTTTTCAGCCCAGGCTATTTCCCATACTTTTAAATACCATTGATCCAAAGAAATACGTTCTTTAGTTTTTCAATATTTTGCTGTAGTAAATCTGACAGCTAACAACAAAAATTGAATTAAGACTCGTTTAAAATGTCCTGGGAAAAAAACAAGACAATAGGCGCTATGTCGATAATTTACTGCACCCTGGCAGTAAATATATAACAATAAATTAGATAATGATCAAGTCTGTAATCCTATAAAAGTCCTTTATTTTCCTATTCTTTGATAGTGCATATCTTCACGGGCTTAAAACTGGGAAAATCGAGGCATAAAAGAAAAGGAGAGATCAAGAACCAACGTCTCTTTTTTTAAATCTTCTCAAAACATCTAAAATATGTTTTTAGTATAGATTTGTGATTAGGGATATAGTTCTTAATGATACTGCCTAACAGCTGGAGGATCTACTTCAGGGGTAGGCAACCTTGGCTCTTTTATGACTCACGGACTTTAATTCCCAGAATTCCTGAGCCAGTCCATGAGTCATAAAAGAGCCAAGGTTGCCTACCCCTGATCTAGTTCTCACTTATGAAATAAAGAAATATTATTTTTAGGGTTCCAAGACAAAACCAACTCGTTATGGACATATCCGTATAGTTTTCGTACACCACAATGTAGAAACAATTATCCACTGCAACCTCATAGGATCTTCTTTGAATTCACAAACCATCTCTTTAATCTGATATCCCTGTTGATCTGATCCAGCCCTTGGCGCATCCTATTTCCCAGGGTGAAAATAATTTCAAGCCAATAATTCCCTGAATATTCCCACAATGTTTCTAGATTGCAAATCGACTTGATGAAAAAGCAGAGAGGAACTTTATGAATATAAATACTGGAATCCTGCTATCATGTCCCCCCCCTAAGTCGTTCTCTGGCCATTCCCAAATCCTGCAACCATTCTTCTTCCTATGTTTTAGTCTCCAGGCCTTTAATCCTCTTAGTTGCTCTTCTCTGCACTTTTTCCAAAGTCTCGACATCTTTTTTTTTTTTTTTGTAATGCGGTGATCAAAACTGGATGCAGTATTCCAGGTGTGGCCTTACTAAGGCTTTATAAAGCGGTATGAATACTTTGAGTGATTTTGATTCTGTGCCTCTGTTTATACAACCCAGGATTGTACTAGCTTAAAATGGAGCAATTCTTGGTATACCCAGAGAGAAACCTTGGGAAATGAACCTTATTACTCTACATTACATCTGGAATAGATTACTAAATAACACATTTAAAATCCTTTGGCAACTGAAGAAAAGAGGCAACTTTTAATTTTTGTTTGCATGTTCACATCTTTCTCTCTCCCTCTGTATCAGTGGTAAAGGTTTTCTCATGGTCATTTTTCCAATATACCTGAAACCTCCAGTGTGTTTGTCAAAGCTGTCCTCAAGGCAAGCTATCACACATCAATCCTTTCAGTATCAAAATATGGTGGCAAAGAGCCAAGCCTACAATTCTTCTTTACAACTGGTGTTTGGAAAATTGTTAAGGGTGCCGTGTCATCTGTTGCTTAAAATGGGGGCATTTTGCTAGTACATAGGCAATATTCCCATTATGTAAATCAGCATATATATATATATTCCCCAGCCAGCTGTAAATTTTGCAAAATAGTTTCACCGTGCAATTAACTAGCATTTGTAACCGCAAACTCTGTGGAGAAGTAATGAGACTCTTGTATTTTTGACAGGGAAGTATATACAGAAAAAGCACTAAGAGGCCTTTAAGAAACTCTTCTGTTCTGGCTTTTTTTTTTCTTAAGGTGGAAAAGAAAACTAAATGGTCCCTTCACTCCAGTATCCTTTTAAAAAGTTCTTGAATTTTGATCTGTCAGTAGCATTTGCTGAAAAGGCAGAGTTTCCTTCCAGTAATTTTAAGAAAAGCTATCATCAAACTGTCAACAGCCTAAATTGAGATTAAAACTACTGAAGAGAAATCTTTGCTATTATCAGGGTTTCAACTAAGAGCCCTGAAGAGCAGACAGAAAAATATTTGAAAGGTCTGAAATGGACCAGCTTCGTTTCTTTTGATCCATTGGAGAAACCCTGGGGAAGGGTGAATAGGTCCTTTTTTTAAAAAAAAAATAATAATAATAGGTGACAAAAGCTTAAACACACTAACCTGGGTTTGCAGACAAGTCAAAATACAGCGTAGGGAAAGCACCTGTGGTTTATACACTGTTGTGAATTAGCTGGAAACACCAGAGAGGTCTGCTGTGACGTGAAATATCTTCCATTCTTCATTTGCATGCTAAATTTTAATATATGCTATGAATGTCACATTAGCAAGTTCTACTTTTGAGAACACTGTTCTGAACACTGAGATGGACAGTTTTTTGTTGCTGTTTTTAAATCTCAGGGTTTAGGAAACTACTTCAATCAACTCAACTCAACAGGCCTTCACCAAGATGTTGACGGCTGAGTTTTTGAATCGGGGGTAGGCAGGATGGATATAGGGAGGAAGTTTCAGTAAAAGAGATAAAAAGTCTTGACTTAAGTCAAGGGTCTTCAAACTTGGTCCTTTTCTGACTTGTGGACTTCAACTCCCATGAAAGCCAGGTGGGTGACTTTGGGCCAATCACAGGAGATGGTGAGTTCTAGTCCCACCTTAGCCATGAAAGCCAGGTGGATGATTTTGCACCCATCACTCTGTCTCAGCCCAATTCACCTCACAGGATTGTTGTAGTGAGGAAAACAGGAGGAGGAAGATGTGTTCACCACCTCAAGTTATTTGTAAAGATAATAAAATAAAGTAAAATAAATAAATTTTGGCAAAAGTTGCTGATCTTTTGTTATTTTTGACAGATATCATGACAATCAAATTAGGAAAATAAACTGGTCGAGGTACATGCAATTCATCTTAAGCATTTTTGGGTAAACGAATGAACTGTTGCAATGGAACAGGGACTGTATTTTTAAAAACCCATGTTTTTTTTTTTTTTACGGTTAAGAGTGAGTTTAATGATCAATATATGTAATTATCTTCCTGCAACTGATTCTTTGTGTTCATTGCCTGATATTCACCTTTTGATTTCTAGCAAAAACATTGCTTATAGCAGTGGGCCTAATATTAAAACATATTTTACAGGAATATACACCAAATGTTATTTACCAGGAAATAACCATCTTTAACTTTAAAAATGCGCCTCAGTAATGTCTAGATATTGCCAGCCTAAATGCTGTTAGTAAATGCAATTTGATTTAAAAAACTTTATCACCATGGGCACAATAATTTTATCCAAGGTGTTTTTCAAACTGTAATCTAGACCAAGATTTCTTAAAAGGTTTATTTTGTCTTCTGATGTTTACAGAACCGTTACATAAGCTCTGTGAATTTTCTGTGCTTATGCAACTTTTGTAACAATCACATATTTTTTTAATCTGCTTTTTAAAATACAAATGTTTGCGATCTTTATGTTTTATATAATACATGAATAACAGAATAACAGAATTGGAAGGGACCTTGGAGGTCTTCTAGTCCAACCCCCTGCTCAGGCAGGAAATCCTATATCATTTCAGACAAATGGTTGTCAAGTCTCTTCTTAAAAACCTCCAGTGTTGTAGCATTCACAACTTCTGGAGGCAGGTTGTTCCATTGGTTAATTGTTCTAACTGTCAGGAAGTTTCTCCTTAGTTCCAGGTTGCTTCTGTCCTTGCTTAGTTTCCATCTGTTGCTTCTTGTCCTGCCTTCAGGCGCTTTGGAGGATAGCTTGACTCCCTCTTCTTTGGGGCAGCCCCTGAGATATTGGAAGGCTGCATTCCAGTATTTGAGGGCCTGCCACAAAGAAGAGAAAGGGGTCAACTTATTCTCCAAAGCACCAGAGGGAAGGACGAGAAACAATGGTTGGAAACTGATCAAGGAGAGAAGCAACCTGGAATTAAGGAGAAAATTCCCAACAGTGAGGACAATTAACCAGTGGAACAGCTTGCCACCAGAGGTTGTGGGTGCTTCATCACTGGAGGTTTTTAAGAAGAGACTGGACAGCCAGTTGTCTGGAATGACATAGGAAGGGGTTGGACTAGAAGACCTCCAAGATCCCTTCCAGCTCTATTCTGATTGATTGATTGGTTGGTTGATTCTGATTGATGTTGTAACTTTGAACGGTCAGAAAACAAACTATTGTAAGCCAAGGGCTATCTGTGTACATTTTAATAGTAATTATTCACATTTTATTGTTACAGGATTCTGTGGAAGATGTTCCTACCTCAGCTCAGGCGTCCTACACACCTTTGCCTTCCGGAACCAGGAATCTCACGCACCACAAAGGTAAACAGAAATTGAGCCCTGCTTATGCAAAACTGTATTGTTACGAATTGCTATAAAGGGTAAGTGTTTTTATTTGGTCATCAGACTTCATTCCAGCTCTGTTCAGTCAGTCGGCTGTCTGAGGATGATGGGCCTCCTATAAGAATGGTCTGAAAATTAGAATTTTGTTATGTTCAACGAGCTCCAACAGTCCCCTACTGGCAGCGAATGAATCTGTTAGACTCTTTATTTCAGCAAAGAAAAAAATTACTGGTAGTATTTCATAACAGGCGACGATATATGATGGGCTCACACAATTTGTAACTTTCTTGGTGAGAAAAGCATTGAAGCGTATTTGTTTTGCAGTTTCTGTTTGCATTAATCTCAACACTTTTCCTTTCAAGTCAGACTTTTTACAAATCGGTAATACAAAAAGCATAGGAAAAGGATAAAATTTCTTTCTTTCCTTCCTTCCTTCCTTCCTTCCTTCCTTCCTTCCTTCCTTCCTTCCTTCCTCCCTCCCTCCCTCCCTCCCTCCCTCCCCTCTGACTCCTTCCTTCCTTCCTTTCCCTCCCTCTACTTACCTACCTACCTACCTTCCTTCCTTCCTTCCTTCCTTCCTCCCTCCCTCCCTCCCTCCCTCCCTCCCTCCATGTGTCCTAAAAATGGAATATTGATGGAAGAACTCCTTGATAAGGGTCTACGGGAAAAATCCCTTTTGCAGTGCAGGAAATATTGTGAACACATTATATTTGTTTCTAAAAGGTGAAATTTAGTGTTTTCTGTCATTCTACGGCAGAAACAAATGACAGTGAACACGATTTGCTATTATACGGAGATTCTCTTTTCTTTACTTCTTCAATGGAAATTGCACACAGGGTACCAAATACGCCATTCAGAGAAAGGACTCCAGGCTTTAGAAGCAGGTGCCCAGGAAGCACACATGATGCCTTTTGATTTTAGGTTCCCTTATGATCTCCTAGGATCTCGGGGAAGATCCTGGAGTTTGGGCAAACAGTCTGGGACTTGAATCTCAAGTTCCAGAGAAGTAATCCGTCCCAAGACTCCTTGCTAAGTTGACCTGCATTTTGGAAATGAAACTGGCAAGATTTGTTTTTCTCGCCATGCACATGTATACATAACCTGAATTAGACTGTTGTTTCTCTGTGCCATGTAATATATGTGGGTACGTGCATAATTCTGTATTTATGTATTTATTTTTGCCATATTTACATAGTGTATATGCTCTCTGAGCTTGAGGATTTTCTTGCAGACGCTTCATTACCAAATTAGGTAACATCGCCAGTATTAGAAGGGAGTGGGATTTGCTGTTGTTTTTATATACTAGTGGCTTGCCCTATTGGTGGGAATGCTCTTGGTGATTTTTTGATTAAGCTATTTTTAGCTTGTTAGTCTGAGTTACTAGTTCTTTAATTGGGGTATGGTTTACTTCTTGATTGTTGGTCTAGTGTTAATTTTGGGGATTAGTCTCAGCTCATCTGGGTGTGGATTGGAGGTGAAGAAATGTTTTGGTCTTTTTATTTCCTTTTTTGATCGTCTCTTTTGAGTGGTATCTAGATAGTGTGTGATCTAATCCACACTGGGAAAACCGGAGTTCTCAATCTTTTAGAACAGTGTTTCCCAAACTTGACAATTTTAAGGCATGAGGACTTCAACTCCCAGAATTCCACAGCCAGCAACGCTGGCTGTGGAATTCTGGGAGTTGAAATCCACATGCCTTAAAATTATCAAGTTTGGGAAACACTGTTTTAGAAGGAAGGAAATGTGAGGACAATTAACCAGTGGAACAACCTGCCTCCAGAAGGTGTGGATGCTCCAACACTGGGAGTTTTTAAGAAGAGTCTGGACAGCCATTTGTTTGAAATGGTACAGGGTTTCCTGCCTGAACAGGGGGTTGGACTAGAAGACCTCCAAGGTCCCTTCCAATTTTGTTATTCTGTTCTGTTCTACTTACTTTCAAAGAAAACATGATGAAACGATGTTTTCCAGGTATCTGGAATCTCCTGCTTGAAGATTATAGGTCACCCCTCCGGTTTTCCCATAAAATGCAAGGACGTTTCCTGAGCTGAAGCAATCCTTAATTGGAGTCAAGGGTGTACTGGGGAAAGAATGAAACACATAAACATGCCATCTTGGAATTCCACCCTTGAGGTTTTTCTATTCCCTGAATGATCTGTATCTCGCATAAAAGAATGAACCAGGGATTGCGTATGTAAATATTGGCAGCTTTCTGCGAAATCTTTGCAACTCAAAGTCATAAGAAAATGACCACTGCCTTCATTTTGTCGCCAAAGGAGCTTGTTTACACGGCTCTGAATCTTCAGGGAAGAAGCAAAAGCAGATGTCCATTGACTTTCCTTGGGACTCAGAAGGAAACAAAAAACGAAAAATGGAACCAGCTCATCTGTGCTTATCCAGATTTTCACAATTTCCACTTTGTGGAACACCCTTCCTTGAGAACAAAGAAGAGAAAAAAGGAGAGGGGGAGAAAATTGTGGAAAATTGAAATTCCTTTTCAATTAAGCTTGCTGGTTTTGCTGTGGCTCCAAACCACTTTCATGTGTTCTAGTCATTTGTCTTATGGCTGCATCTCAGTCACAGGGAAGTTCCTGGAAAACTACTCATCCTTTGCAATTGCCTTCCACTTCTCTCTTCCAAACTGGAGAGTGGAACTTGCTGGAAAAATAGAGGTGGAAAATGACAGACCGACAGACCGACAGACATCTAGAGATAGAGATAGAGATAGATAGATAGATAGATAGATAGATAGATAGAGAGAGAGAGAGAGAGAGAGAGAGAGAGAGAGAGAGAGAGAGGTGAGTGGGTAGGTAGGTAGGCAGATAGATAGATCAGTGATGGCAAACCTTTTAGAGACCGAGTGCCCAAACTGCAACCCCAAACCCACTTATGCATCATCGGGTGCTGGGTGGGTGTGGCCCATTGGCTGGACGTGGCCCATTGGCTGGGCATGGCTGCAGTGGTAACGGCAGACTGGGTGGGACTAAAAAGTTCAATCAATCAGTTCCAACTTTGCTAGATTTTTTTTTCCCTGTGAGAAGTTGAAATTGACTGATTGAACTTTTTTTTTTTTGCAAATGGCGATGGAGGCCTAAAGTGAAAAGGTTTTATAAAACCCAGCTGAAGGCCTAGGACTGGGGTGATGGCACGCGTGCCCATAGAGAGGGCTCTGAGTGGCGCTTCTGGCACCTGTTCCATAAGTTTGCCACCACTGATCCAGGTAATATTAGTGCGTGCCTGGCTGAGGAATTCTGGAAGTTGAAGTCCACAAGTCATCAAAGGGCCAAGTTGGAAAACCCCTAGTTTATCATGACTTCCCAAAAGAAAATAAGTAGGAGCAATACCACAATTGCAAGAGCCTTAGGATGGCACCAAAAGGGACACGTCTCTGCACAGAATTAAAAGGCTCTTTTTTATTGCAACGATGGCTGTTGTTCGAACAAACAAAAACATAACACTCATTAATGCAGACACCGGGTGTGTGCATGCAAAGGACGGGAGCAGGTGTGCACGTCAAGACATTTCAATTGATGGTAAAAAATCTGTAGTCAAACTACTTCCTCATCTGCCTTTCAAAGCTTGTAGACAGGCCATTTTTCATGATTTCGCCATTTTGGCCAAAAGAGACATTTTCAATTAAACATTCTTTTTGATTCCAGATGTTTGCTGCAACCAGGCCAGGAAAAAATGTCTGCTTCATCTCAAATGGGAGGATTTTTTGAAAAAAACAAAACAAAAACAAAACAAAACAAGAAGGAAAGAAAAGGGACATTCAATAGCATGGAAATTCCCAGAAAAACTTTTGTTTTTTCATTTTTGCAAGGTGGCCTTTTTTGGGGGGGTTTGAGTTTTTTTAATTTATTCTTGAAATAAATACTACTCAATGTGTAAAGGCTCAATTCACAAAACTGAGTATCTCTGACAGTGAGAACAATTAATCAACGGAACAGATTCCCTCCAGAAATCATGGGGTCTCCATCCCTGAAGTTTTTTAAGAAGAGACTGGACAGCCACTTGTCTGAAATGGTATAGGGTTTCCTGCCTGAGCAGGGGTTTGGACTAGAAGATCTCCAAGGTCCCTTCCAACTCTGTTATTCTATGTTCTGTGTTCTCTCTCTTTTTTTCCTTTATATTACTGAATGCCCCTTGGACAAACGTTTTTGTGACATTTTTGTCTTGCCTTCCACACAAAAGCAACTGGTTTAAAGTCACCCACTCTGAATCTCAGGAAAACCATGATCAAACCTTTCCTAAAATTTTGTTCGCCATTTGGAAAATGTTCAGAGGAGAGAAACTAAGATGATCAAAGGCCTGGAGATTAAAACATATGAAGAACGGCTGCAGGACTTGGTTTGGCTAGTCTAAAGAAAAGAAGAAACAGGGATGACATGATAGCAGTATTCTAGTATTTGAGGGGCTGCCACAAAGAAGAAGGGATCAAATTATTCTCCAAAGCGCCTGAAGGCAGGACAAGAAGCAACGGATGGAAACTAATCAAGGAGAGAAGCAACCTGGAATTAAGGAGAAATTTCCTGACAGTGAGGACAATTAACCAGTGGAACAAAAGTTGCCTTCAGAAGTTGTGGAGGTCCTGAAGAAGAGGCTGGACAGTCACTTGTCTGAAATGGTGTAGGTTTTCCTGCTTGAGCAGGAGGATGGATCTCCAACATCCTATTCTATTCTATTCTATTCTATTCTATTCTATTCTATTCTATTCTATTCTATTCTATTCTATTCTATTCTATTCTACTCTACTCTACTCTACTCTACTCTACTCTACTCTACTCTAAAATGTTGCCAAGAAAACTGCATGATCTTATACATGTGGTCACGAATTGCTGAGACTGACTTGAAGGCATGCACATTGCATGGAAGTACTCTGAAATTAAACTGGACTCCTAGAGTCCTGGATATTTTGAGCAAAATCTTGGTGTGCGGGAGATCTCATGTACTCCAGATCCGAATGAAAAAAAAAATGCCTA